TTTATCAGAAGGACCTCCAAGAAATGGAAAGAAGTTTTTTTTTTCCCTTTGTGGCTGTTTTGTTTTCTTTTCCTTTTGTCTTTTTTGATCATTTATCTGACTTTGAGAGGGTAAAGAGGAACAGAGAAATGGAGGAACAAAGGGTGAACAAATGCAACAGTGATGCTCACTAAACACTATGTTGAAAATGAACTATACACAAGGGAAAAAATGGGAGAGAGGAAGGAATGACATTGTTCAAAAAGAATTGAACTCGGGCCGGGATGTAGCTCAGTGGCAAAGTGCTTGCCTAGCAAGTGCAACATCCTGGGTTTGATCCCCAGTACCAAAAAAGAAAAGACAAAAAAAAATACAGTTAAAAAAAAAAACCAAACCAAAAAAAAAAAAAAAAAAAAAAAAGAATTGAACTGTTTATCTGACTTATGCAACTGTAACCCCTCTGTCCATCACCTTTACAATAGCAATTTTAAAATTCATTAAATAAATAAATAAGTCAAAGAAGACTGGCATACAAGGCTAGGGGAGAGAGGGAAGAAAGGGAAGGAGGGAAGGAGGGAGGGAGGATGACTATCAGTACAAGCATATAATAGCATAAGGGGAATTGCCACCCCAGCTAGCCTAGCTCTATGCCCAATAAATACTAATACCCTATTACCAAGAACCTTCACTTTCAATTCCTTCATCTCATGACTAATTCACATTGACATTTTGCTTTCTGGAACATGGAGTCTAGCCAAACCAAGTTGACAAGACACAAGAAGGAAACCTAAGAATTGAAGAAAGAAAAATCCACCAGCTGTGCAAACCACAGACTGTTCTGGTCAAGAACCATTCCCCTTGCTCTCTCCTTGAACAGTAAGGTATGCTTTAAACAAGAACCTCTACTAATACCAAGAAAACATTAAGAGAATCAAACTATGGCTTTGTATGTGGGGGGGGGGGAGGGTGTGTGGTGTGTGTGTGTGTGTGTGTGTGTGTGTGTGTGTGTGTGTGTGTGTGTGTGTGTGTGTGTGTGTGTGTGTGTGTGTGTGTGTGTACAGGTCCTAAGGTTGGGCTCAGGGCCTGGGCATTGTCCGTGGGCTTTTGTGCTTATGACTAGCACTCTACCACTTGAAACACAGCACCACTTCTGGCTTTTTTCTGAGTAGTTTTACTGGAGATAAGAGGGATGATGGGGGTGGGGGGGGAGAGATGGGAAGGGATGGGAAGGAGAAACAAAGGAGGAGGCAACAATGCTTGATAAGAAATGTCCTCATTACCTTGCCCATGTAATTGTAACCCCTCTGTATGGTATTTTCACAATTAAAAAAAAAAAAAAAGAGTCTCTCAGACTTTTCTGTCCAAGCTGGCTTCAACCCGCAATCCTCAAATAGCCTCCTGAGTAGCTAGGATTACAGGCGTAAGCCACCAGTGCCTAGCACTTTCAGCTTTTTCAGTAGTTAATTGGAGATAAGAATTTCACAGACTTTCTTGCCCCAGTGGGCTTCAAACTGTGATCCTTAGATCTTAGACCCCTGAGTAGCTAGGATTATAGGCATGAGCCACTAGCACCCGGAAAGATTGTGGATTATTAAGTGGACTGTTACATCCATTCTGAGTCATCAGTGCATAAAAAAGAGAGAGAGAACTTACCCTAGCACACACAGAGTTAAGGTGGATCTGGCCAAAACCTGTCTGGTTTTTTTTCCTGCACGTTGTCCTGGGATTTTTCTGAAGGCTCATTGCTGACAAATATCTACATCCAGCTTCAGCTGTCACCAAAGCTCAGACCCACAAACCAACCAATTCTTGGCTCAACTCCTCAGGGCTCTTTTAAAAGTTCAATCTATGAAATGCAGTGACACTGCAGTTACACCATCAGATTCTTTTCCCCGGCACTGTTTTTCATTCAGTGCTTCCTTGTTCAACAGATGACATCATCATCATCTGGTTCCTTTGCCAGTAACTGGGGGAATGGTATCCACTGTTTGAACTCTGGTCCTACTACCTCCTGCCTGTGACCTTGGGCAAAGTGACTAAAGCATACCTCGAGTTTTGTCATGTGGGGAAAAAATGAGATAAGTGTTACCCCTGAAGAGAAATAGTTCCAAGCATTGAAGGAGTTAATGTGTACAAAATGTTAAGCACACTGAAAATATCTTTATGTATGCAGTTCTATCTTCAAGCCTGTACCTCTATTCCCACCCCTGTACCTGGTTAATTCCTCTGTATCCTCCTCATTTCAACTCAAATGTTTCTTTTTGCTCCCTAGAAGTCTTCCTTGAGCACCCCTGCCTTTCCAGGCTAGGTCGTATCTCATCCTTATTTTTCATCTTCAAAGTGCAGTATGATTTGCATTCATATCACATATCATAATTATATATTTACTTTGCTAATGGGCTTGATTAATAAAATAAGTGTCTCCTCCAATATCCCGAACTCTACATGAAGGCAGGGATTACTAGTGCTTCACTCATTGTATATCCTCAATACTGTACCTGATGGTTAACTGGTGTTCACTATTACGTGAATGAAGAGTTCAAAAAGCATGTTTGTCAGCAGAATGGGGGGACCTATAGATTCGAAGAGGACTCACAGGGTACCAGTCCAAGTGAGTGCTCAAGCCATTACATTCCAGCAAGTCCCATCCTATCACTACCAAGCCCAGGATTCTCTGTTTCTTTGACCATCATCTCACCTGTTCAGAATTGTGTTTCTTCAGAAAAAGAACATACTCTGCAGGAACCTGCATAGCTATACCCTGAAGAGTTTGGGAAGGAAACCTCGCCCTTCTAATGCCTTGCCTAAAGTAAACATGTCTTCACAATGGGTATGAGTGTAGTGTTGAAAGCACATGTTTTTGTACCATGGGATTTCAAATGCTGCCAACTACTACATCTGGAGCTCAGCTGAAGAAATAACTGTCTGTTTCAACATGGGGATGAAATTGAGCTGTATTACCCTTTGAAGGGAATAGCATCTTCCTTCTCCAATGTGGTGCTAGTAAGGAATTTTCAAGAATACTTTGGAGTGGGGGTATAGCTCAATGGTAGAGTGCTTGTTTGGCACGAGCAAGGTCAAGGATTCCATCCATACTATCACAAAAAATTAATTTTATTATGCCCAGTTATTGTTTATGCAGTAATTCTAGAAACTAGTCTTGTAATAAGGAACTTGTGGTAGGCAAAGTATTCAAAATGAAGGGGTTTTCTTTTAGACAATACAGGTTTTGAATTCAGAGCCTCACACATGCTAGGCAGGTATCTAAGACAATACTAGTAGGCCAAAAGTGAAGGTTTTGACATTGGACTCAAATTATGGCTCTAGCACTTATTAGTTATGGATGAAACATGACCTCGCTCAACCACAGTCAACTCATCTATACTAAAAAGAGAGATCAATTAGCTGGGCTCTGGTAGCTCATGTCTGTAATCCTAACTACTCAGAAGGCTGAGATATGAGGATCATGGTTCGAAGCCAGTCCAGGTAGGAAAGTCCATGAGATGTTTTTCTCCAATTAACCAGCAAAAAGCCAGAAATGGAGGTGTGGCTTAAGTGGTAGAGTACTAGAGTACTAGCCTTGAGCACAGAAGTTCAGGGACAGCAACCAGGCCCTGAGTTCAAGCCTTGGACCAGTAAAAAAAAAAAAAAAAAGATGACCTACAGCTAATGGTTATATAAAGTATTACATAAAATATGTGATATATGGCTGAATTATTGTCTTTAAGGAAGTTCTTTGTAAACAAAATGCTATTTTACAAGATCATGTTCTATACCATGTTTCACACAGTGTTCCATCCCCAGAAGGCATTCAGGGAATTCCAGGATCTTCCTCAGATTTTTGTTTATTCTGTTCTGAACTAGCAGCCCACTTCTTTATGGGAGTGTCTGACCCCACTCTTCTATTTTGAGTAGAACAGCTTATGCATAAACGATCTTTTTTCCTGAGTTATACAATTGAAATGTTATACAAGCCACTACCCCACTTCCTTTTGTCTTTCATGCTAAACAATAAATGTAGATTTTTGCTAATTTCTTCCCCACAGACACAGGCATACAGCCTTCATTGATAATATGATTTCTCTACAACAGAACTCACATATACTACACAAGACAACAGCTATAAATATAGAAAAAAAGAAAACACTAAAGAAAG